AAAAAAAAAAAAACAACTCTAGGATTTTGACAAAGCTTCTGTTTCTCTATGCCTAGCCAGAAAATAAGATCAAATATGAATACAGGCATTTTTCTTGAGGCCAGCATAACATAGTGAAGAGTCTAAGACAAGAGTTCATTTTTATTACAGTTAATCTCCAGAGCCATTTCATTCTTTGTTTGAATTATTTTAGTACCAGCCTAGTTCACTAGGTGCCATGACGAAAGATATTAATCTTTATCTTTTTTCTATTCTATAAATATTGCTTTTAAAAATTAGTATACTAGAAGATGAATTTTTTTATATAGGAGTCAAATAAGATCTCTCTACTATGATTATAAATTTAAATGTAGGATAAACTTCTTTGCTTTTTTGGCATAAAGATGGATTTTGAAGGTTATGTGTATTGAATGGTACAGAAATACATAAGATGAAATTAAAGTAGCTGTTTAACTCATGTGTGTGTGTGTCAATATGTAGGCATGCATATGTGTGTGTACACATGTGTATGTGTGTATATGTGTATGTGTGTGTCTGTGTGTTTACCAAAAAAAGAACATGACATCAAGAGAAGGGACACTCAGCAGAGTGATTAAAACAATAAACAATAAAGGCTGGTGTTGGGCTTTTCCCAGCTTTGGAATGTTCATACCCAAAAAGGTGAATTGATTAGCAAGGTATCTACAAGTTCTTACCTGAAGCAGAAGTGTGAGAGTTCAGCCATTGGAATTTTCCTGAAAAAATACCATTCCTTTCACCCTGGGCCAAGCCCCCCAGCCAAGCAGGGGAGGAACTGAGAGTGACAGTTGGGGCAGTGGGGGGATTGCCTTGTCCTCTATACCAGCTCCCCAACTTGTACCCAAGTGAAGGTCGTGGAGCTTCCCTTCGCCTTGGCACATGGCTCCTCCCCCCACCACTCCTCTGGATCATTCCGTAAGTAACCCACAGATTTGTTGAGCGCCTACTGTGTGCCAGGCCCCAGCCCACAGGGGAAAGCAGAGGGGGCCCCATTGTCTCCCACGAATGAAAGGTTGGTTCCCTCTGACCACTACAACCTGGGATCCCAACCCTTCCATATTTCCTCAGGTTACCCTCATTACCCTTCCGAAACAAACAGGCAGAAAGCAAGCACTATTCAGGGAGGGCTTTTATATGAACCTATGTGTTCAGGTTATAGGACAAGAAGGAAAAAACAAAAACTATTTCCCCCAAGGCTGTGAGCAGAAAAGAATCAAGCCAAACTTAGGAATATTTTCCACACTCTCTGCTCCACATGATAAAATTTACTTCTGTTTGCATCCAAGTGCTGGCAGGGACAGAGGCTCCACGGCCTCACTATGCACCGTGTGGGTGCAGACGTTGCTACCAGGGCCCCAGCACACACCATCCCACCTATCTGGTTCCTTAACAGGTTCCTGCTGTCACATGTCAAAATGGGCAGGCGTGTGCATCATCCAAACCAAAGTGGACTTTCAGTGGTGACACCAGGTTCTGGACAGAGTTTTGGTATCACCAACTCCAGTCACTTTCTCAGATGGACACATAAGCAAAAAAGAAAGCATACTTTTTGTTTTATTTGCAACATTGTTCACACTAAATCCCTTGTGTGACCTTAGATGAGTTTTTTAACTTGCCTCAGTTTCCTCTTCTATGAAATGGAGAGAATAACAGTGCCTCCCTCATAGGGTTGTGAGGGTAAATGAGCTAATATACACAAAGTACTTAGAACAGTTCCTAACATATAAGCACTCTAAAAGTGTTTACCGCCCCCTCCTCCTCCTGTTAGTCTTGTTTTTTTCTTGTTGTTAAACTTCTTTTTTTCCCCCCAGATCATTGATCACTCAGGAGATCCTGCAGAAGGAGTCTATAAAACCTATATTTATGTAGAAAAGATTATTAAACAGGTAAATGTGCATTCCCTGTAAGATTTCTGCTCAAATATCTTAAGAGTGATTTCAATAAAATTGGGTTTTCCAGAGAAAATCACTTGTTTGGTTTCTTTTGAAAACAATACTGGGGTAAAGTGCCCTCTTTTCTGGCAAGAGTCCACCTGGTGGTATTATTGTGTTATTCCCAGTACCATGTATCTGTATCTCTCAGTTGTCTCGCAAACGATTTGATGTTTTAATATCCGTTAAGTATAAAATGGATTACAAAAGTGGTAGGTAAAAAGGAAGTATATGAGGGATAATGTTCACCTATTCAACAGAGAGTCTCCTTAGATTCTGTGTGCACCTTGAGTTTTTGTATATTAGAAAAATCTGTCTTGAATTTTTCTACCACATTATCCCCCTATCAATAGAGAGGGGTGAAAACACACCTCTAGGTGTCTGAGATCATGGATCACAGAGGTGTCTCAAACTGAAAGTTTCTATGATGTCTCAGTATTAATCTTGAAACTTTATGTGAATTATATATTCTGCTTGATGTTTACCTTTTTTTAATATTAAAAATCATTTAAAATTATGTATCAGCAAAAATTCTAATAATGATAAGAAAAAGAAAAAAAATTCCCTATCTTCAAGTAAAATGGGCACCAGATGTTTAGCTTGTGTTTATCCTTACCTGCTGTCCCCTCCCTCAGGGTACCAGGGACCCTATTTGAGAAGTAAGGGATTAAATTACTTTTTAAAATTAACTTGTGTTACAAGTATACAGATTTGTTATCAGAGAAAAAGAGTGAGCCCCAAAATAAGATGAATTGAACAGAGTAAATGGCAGTAAGTGAAAATGGACATATTGACCAACTTTACCATTTACAGGATAACATATTTTCAGTGATTAATATAAAGACTAGACATCATAGCAGAGATATTTGATATCAAGAAACCCCATCTTAGTAATTAAATGCTTGTAAAAATGTAAAGCAGCATATTTCTTAGGCATTAGCACGGTCTTTAAAATTGTTCACCAGCCAGATATAACCAAAGATATTGTGTAACATTTTTCAGAAACCAGATTCCCTCTAACTTTATTTTTAATGAATGAGAGTGGTGTTTGTTTTTATTATTTTAATATTTCTTCTTTTCTTTATTTTTAAACTATTGCTTATTTTTATAGTTTTAAATTGATCCCTGGAGGTACCATACAAAAGCCATAGGTTTGGGCTTGCCCTCCAAGGTAGGTGAGGGCCACCTTAGGCCTGTGTGCTGACAATACTGTACAAGGTCTTCACTTCCTTTGTTTGCTTTTGTGTGCTTGCTCTTGGTGTTCAGGACATCCTGGGCTTTGAAACTACAGACCTGGAAACTAAGGATTTGGGCAGTGAAGATTCTATTCCAGAAGAAGATGATTTTGGTGATGTTCTGTGGGACATACATGATGAACAAGAGCAAATGGAAGCTTTTCAGCAGGCTTCAAATTCAGCCCATGAGTTGGGATTTGAGAAAGTAAGCATTTGGAGTGTTGTTCCAACAAAGATCAGTCACTGCTTAAAGGCTGTATCATAATTGTGGTTTCACCCAATTATAGTCAAGGTTAAGGATTGTGTTAATATCTGCCCTCATGGCTTAATTATCCATGTTGAGACATGTGCTTAGGTTTGTATCATATGAAAGATGTGTGAGATTCAAATATACTTATGAATATCAAACATGTTTAGTTACAGATTAGGATTTTTCAACTACATGTTTATTATGCTACCATCTGCAATTCACCAGACCAAGTTTAGTATACCTAGGAAACTTGATAAAAATAGGAAGGCTCTCTATTGTTCCAATTCCTGGAGGAATCAAAACATCAAACAGCAGAGTAGTTAATGCAGTAGGCAGGTCAGTCCTTCAGCATCCTTAAATATCTAAGCAAATAAAACTAGAAGTGCACAAAGAATCTGTGTTCAAGTTCAAAAATACTTAATAATATTTAAAAATTAATATAAGAACTAATATCTTAAAGAATATTACAGTAGCTGTCACTAATAGCTGTATTTTTACAGGATTTTTAATGACTTTCATAATTTAGACTGTCAGTGTTTATGTCCTGGTTCCACCATTTCCTCACTGTGGATTTTGATCAAGTTACTTAGCTCTAAACTTTGACTTTCTTGTCTGTAAAATGAGGATAATTAATAACACCTATCTCACACGATTGTTTGGGGGACTAAATCAGATCATGCACATAAAGCATTGGCACGGTACCTGGCATATGGTAAATGTTAAATTGTTGTCATTTTATAAGAGAGGCATTGCTATCACTATTTTATCATATAAATGAAGGACCTAAGGTCCAGATTATAGTTTGCCTAAGAGCATACAGGGTGTAGATTGCAGATGTGAGATTTTAACCTAGGTCTTCTGGCTCCAAATCCTATGCTTTCTTCTATGGCAAGGGGTCTTAATGTGGGAAACATGGGTCTATAAATGGGCTTTAGTTGGGACCACGAACTAAATTGTTAGGATTTACAAGGTCATAAATCAATTAAGCCTTTTTCTTCTTGAGAAGTATCATTTCTATGAGAAATATTTGAATTCCTCGGGAATATGATATGACAAACAGAAAAATTGATTGAAAAACTATACCAAGTAATTATTTATTGTAGTTGCTGGAAATTTCTGCTACCCTAAAGCTCGCATAAACTACTTATTTATTACACATTCTTTTGATTCCTCATCAGCTATCATTTAGACCACTGGTACACTTAATAAACATCCTAACCCCCAAGATGACTTTGGAAACTCCTTTATAACGACTGAGATATTTCAGTTTTCTGAGCATGTCCTTTTCAGCTCTGAACGAGGTTTTCCTATCTGGGGAAAGCCTAGGAAATAGGAGTTCTCAGACTTTGCATGGAACACATGCAGTTTCAGAAAGATCTCAGGTGTCCTAGCTTGGTTCTCAGTAGCATGTTGGGAGACTCCAAGGCCCCAGACAGGACCCTCTCTTGTTTCTCTGGAAACTGAGATAGGACAGGTGTTCTGGGCAGGTGTTCTTCTGACCAGGAAATGTAGGATGCCTGCTGGTGCCCTCAAGGCCACCTGTGGTACTTTCCATAGTTCAGGAACTTGGGGTAATGCAGTAGTCTCTCTGCAGCGTTCTGCAGGACATCTGAATGGTGCAAAGCCCCATGGGGATCTGAAAGGTTGCCCCTCATCCGTTAATACTATGGTAGGAGAAATTGGGGCCCATTCTTAGTTTACTACTTTGGACATATTTAACCAGCCATAAAAATAAGCAATTATGAGGGTGCTATTGATTAAAAGTAGATTTCACTTTTTCATGCAGCTTTTCTCCACTGATTTCAGAGGATAATCAGAAATTGACTCTATTTAGTATTCTAAAAGGCATGTTCTTCTTCACAATTTAAATTCATTTTTATTTCTAGTATTACCAGCGCCTTAATGATCTAGTGGCAGCACCAGCACCAATTCCACCCCTTCTTGTATCTGGAGGACCAGGCTCTGGAAAGTCCCTTCTTTTATCAAAGTGGTATGATTCAGTGCAATTAAATTATCGTTGTCATCATTTGAATTACTGAACTCGTTCAACAAAATGAATTATTGAATGTCTACCTTGCTGCAGGGCCTGTACTGAACATTAAAAAGCAAAAGGAGTAATATAACAGACTCATGCCCTGAGATATATACAATTTGAAAGTTAGAGAGAAGATACAGAATGAGAAAGGAAAAGGAAATGTGAGCATTTGTGATTGTGTACATAAATTATGTAGGTCAGAGCTAAGGGAGTGGTCACTGTGGCATGGAGTTAGGTGAATTATAGAGGGCATGTGCCTTTATTTTCAATTACTGGCTTCATCTTAAAAGTTTCATTGGGGGCTTCCCTGGTGGCGCAGTGGTTGAGAGTCCGCCTGCCGATGCAGGGGACACGGGTTCGTGCCCCGGTCCGGGAAGATCCCACATGCTGCGGAGCGGCTGGGCCCATGAGCCATGGCCACTGAGCCTGGGCGTCCGTGAGCCTGTGCTCCGCAACAGGAGAGGTCACACAACAGTGAGAGGCCCGCGTACCACAAAAAAAAAAAAAAAAAAAAAAAGTTTCATTGGGATTTTAAATATTTGAAACAAGACAAAGACTGACTATTTAGAGTGGAATAAATCATAAAGAATATCAAAATAAAGGATAATCTTTACTATGAATGCAAACTAGTTCTTCAAATTATGGACTAAGGTTCTTATAAGCTAATAAACTCTTAGTTTTATTTTAGTTCATCATATTATTGAAAAACAAGTGGTAAGACCATTTCCTTTCACTCATAGTTATTATTTACATTGAGGAGTTGGTGTATATTGTTTCCTTTTTATTGCCCTGTTATTCAGAGTTATGTTTGGAAATACTATTTTTGTACTTAACAAAGAAACTTCCTTTTTCCTTTAATAACATACTTGTAATTAAAGGTTAATGCTCATTTTACTAATACTTTAACCACAAATGTATAGTGTTTTGGTTTACGTTAGTAACACCAATTTGTAATTAAAATGAAGGTATAATTTTTAATGGTTTATTTAAAAGAATCTAAAAGTGGTGTAAAAATTGAAATTTCCCATATTAATTCAAAACTGACTGACCATGTAATTACTAACAGGTAGCATTTGATGCTTAATGCATTGTGAATTCTTTTTTTGTTGACCATAAAGGAGCTTCATCAGTCTTATAAAAGGTCTTTTTCTTTCAGGATCCAGTTACAACAGAAAAATTCCCCTAACACACTAATTCTTTCTCATTTTGTGGGGAGGCCCATGTCAACCAGCTCAGAGTCTTCCTTGATTATTAAACGACTGACTCTAAAGGTAGAAAAATACACCATCTTTTGGAGTTATCAGAAATTTTATTTAGATTCAGAAGTTGTCAGGCCTGAGTACCTGATGATAAACCAATTTTCAGTATTACGCATTTGTTTTGGTTTTGCATAAGGTTAAAAATTATACTCAATGCAGTTGGGTCCTTTTGGTGACAATTTTGGTTTAAAATGCAGAGACAGAAATACTTCTCACCAGTTGTGATACAGTGTAGCTACTTTAATTTGCATGTGTTCTCACCTTGTAGTTGATGCAGCATTCTTGGTCAGTATCTGCTCTGTCATTGGATCCTGCTAAGCTTCTGGAAGAATTTCCACATTGGCTAGAAAAACTCTCTGCCCGTCATCAAGGCAGCATCATCATCATTATTGATTCTATAGATCAAATTCAGGTATGTTTTCACTTTTTAACCTACTGATATACTCAGAAAGAGACAAAAATATTTGTAGTGACTATAGCAAACATTTAAATCATATGTTTGTGAGAAGAAAATGTTGATGTTGTTTCTTTTATTTCTGCTTAATTTCTAGAGAGGAAGCATGTGGATAAAAATATATATATATGCCAGTAGATGCTAGTATCTTATTGGGAAGGACCAACTGTGTTTTCACAATTAGCAAATATTGTTCATTTTGACATGGTTTTAGGGCCTTGACATTTCCTTACATGCCCAGAATTCAGATCAGTGATAGTAGTGTTTTGCCACTTGTTCTTCTAATATTCTGAGATAAATCATCCAAAAAATAAGATTTTATCCTTAATAATAATGAGAAATTTAATGAGAATTTCATTTTACTTGGGGAGCTGTTATTGGGTTGCTTTTGAAATATTTTGAATTAATAGATGGAATTTTGTTTTTATATTTTTAAGCAAGTTGAAAAACACATGAAATGGCTGATAGATCCACTGCCAGTGAATGTAAGAGTAATTGTTTCTGTGAATGTGGAAACATGCCCTCCAGCATGGAGGTAAGTGCTAAATTTAATTCTTTCAGATTACATGAAATTTTTAAAGTATAAACAAAGAAAGGTTTTTGATATGTGTATTTCTCATATTTTTCATATGATGTCAGTGAGGATGGGGAAAATTGGACAAATTCAAGAAAAGGATGCAATCTATAGGATTTGGTGGGAGGTTAGATCAGAGATGTGAGAAAGAAAGCTAGGATAGCTCCCAGGTTTCTGGCTTGAGAAATTAAGTAAACTGTGGTTCCATGAACTGAGATGGGAAACACAAAGGATGGGCAGGTTTGTGGAGCAAAGGTCATGACTTTTGTCTTTGGACATGGTTTGTTTGAGTTGCCTATTGTAGCTCCAATTGGTGATGTCTAGTAGGCAGTTAAATTTATGGGTGAGGAAAACGGGGAAGGCCGGGCTAGGAAAAATAGACCAGAGACCTGTGGTCCTGAAATGTAAGCTCACCTTAACAGTCCTCAAAAAGGGATGCAGTGGTTGAGTTCTGTAAGGCAGTGTTTCTTGACCTATTTTTGCCTCCCCACCCTAGGAGCCCTTTAGTGATTTTCTTCCTAATCACCTGCCAAGAAGTGTTAATACCATACATACATCATATATCAATTCATGAATATAAATAGATATGTGTGTATATTTGTGCTTTATGCATAAAGAGAGTAAGATTTCCCTTCTCCAACAAACAATTTTCACCACCCCATTGAGAATGGATGTTGTAGGGTGTAAATTCTAATTGGATTACAAGTAATCTGTGGACGAAGACTGTCTGACACTATTCCTCACAGGCACTAATACCTGTGTTGTTTTACTGATGGTATAGAACTGGAAATGTTATACACTTCGTGTATAAGCTATTTATAACAGTGTTGTGATTAATTGCTAAAAAATGAAATACTATTAATATGATTAACAGAGATTAATTTTGTTTATTTTATGAAGGCAGTATAAAAATTTAATTCTTGTAATGGACTCTGACTTGTCTTGTGGGTAGATTACAGCTTTGTTGTATTATTAAAGGAGAATTTCATTTTTCTTTTCTTTAAATAAAAGGTTGTGGCCTACACTTCATCTTGACCCTTTAAATCCTAAAGATGCAAAATCTATTATAATTGCAGAATGCCACTCTGTAGACATTAAACTGAGTAAAGAGCAGGTAAGTATTTTTAATTTTGCTGCTTTCTTTTACTCTCTATAGCTTTCCTTATAAAAACACTTTATATGAGACTTAAAATTCAATTTAGTACTCTATATGGTTCTAAGGAAAATTGGAACTTAGTAATAATTACTTTCTTAAATGCATTTACTCTTAAACTAATAACAGATATAGAAGAAGCAATAAAAAAACTTTGGTCTTAAGGTTTACTATATTATATTAAGCAGTATTTTAAAAGCAAAAAAGCATTTGCATGTTGACAGCATCTGTGGTCCAGTACCAGACGGCAGTGATGCCACTGATGAGGTGGCAGGAACCATGTTATTTCTGCAGGGATATTTGTTGATGGCTTGGTTGTAAAGACTGCTTAATTCCAGGGTGGTTTTGTATTTCTGTTTTGTTTTTTGGTAAACTGGTGCAGGAGAAGAAGCTAGAACGACACTGTCGTTCTGCTACAACCTGCAATGCCCTTTATGTCACTCTTTTCGGCAAAATGATTGCGTGGTAAGTGGTGGTTATTTTATGTCATCTTCAGCATGTTTGTGTTTGCTGCAGAACGCTTCTTCACCGTGTGAAACTGAAAACTGATCATTATGACAATCTCTTGGGCCACTAAGATTCTGTTTATTCTAACAGTGATACTAACAACCATGAGAATGTGACTTATGACTGAAGATTGCTGCTAGTCCTTGAATATCAGAACTTGTTGGATATATCTGTCTGGTTTTCATCACAATAACCTTCTCCTGACTGGGGGTTGCAAAACAAGGCCATCTTTGGCCTCAATTTGGGGCCCACCCAGGAGTGCTCATTGTCGCCTCCTTGAGGCCCCTAGCTTTGAGAAAGTGAGGAGACAACTAAGGCATAAAAATGTTATTTCAGGTGTCTTTCACTATCAGTAGGTAGGTATGTAGGTAGGAATATTTAATTGTCTCTGTTCCCACGTCCTGATAAACCTTTCATCTTACAATTGGTCTTCTATTTTAGAAATCCATTCATAATTTGCCTTTAGATAAGCAGTAGAGAGTTTTACTGCTTTTACTTCTTCTTCAGTACAGCCTCACCTACTCTGTTCGCAACCAGAGGTAAAAAAGATCAACACTTGTTTTGGTATTCATCACAGTAGGTTGTAATCCTAGCACAACTCATATTCTAGACACTAAATCTAGTACTCTTGTCTCTTAATTCCACATTCTCACCTGAAGCACCAAATTTGAAATGAAAAAATCTTCTGAAACTTTGAATTGTCCATGATATTTGATATTTTCGCTGTCCCCAGAGTTGTGGCGGTACATCTGTGAACATCAGTGGCTTGCATAAGTACAGTTCAAGAGTCATGCATTTCATAATAGTTATTGAAATTATCTCTTTTAAGAGGGACTATGGATCCATTTTTTTGTTTTTTCCCTATTCTTTGCATATCTTTGTATTTAAAAAGGAAACTACTGGTAAATATTGTGTAATATTTTAAAACAAACCCCATTTACTGATTTTCTTTAGCCTGATGTTTTCCAAATTCTGGTTCTATTTTTTTAAATTTAATTTGCATGGCTAACTAATAATACTTATTTATAATTATTTTCCTGCTTCCTGTATGTAGGCGGCATGCCTCTAGGTGATAAGAACCATGTCTTACTCATTTTTGTGTTCCATAATGTATAGTAATTACTTGATACATAGTTAAGTCCGAGCATATGTTTATTGAATTGAATTAAATGGTAATACACTAAAATAACTGTGATGACTCTAGCAACCCCATAAAACTAATGTTTTCCTGCGTCATGTTTTATTGAATTCCTGTTGTTATCAGTTAAACAGTACAAAACATAGAGGTAAAATACAGCACTGTTTTTATTTACCCCAAATTTTTCACAGATGTTGGCAGAATGTAAGAAATTAAATCTGTTTTCAATTCCAACAGTGCTGGGAGAGCAGGCAATTTAGATAAAATCCTTCTTCAGTGTTTCCAGTGTCAAGATACTGTTTCATTATATAGACTTGTTCTGCGATCTATCCAGGAGTCCATGACAAATGATATGGATAAAGAACTAATGAAACAGGTAAAGCGTAATAAACTTATAAAGGGAAGATTATTTTGCCTTGTTTGTATTTATGTGTGAATTGAAGTAAACAGTAAATCTGTGTAATGCTAAATGTTTCAAGCATATACTATACCCACTACCATAGTGTGCTGTGGCCAGAAGTGATATCTCAGGGAATTTGCATTTTCCTGATTATCATGGAGATTTTTCATCTTTTCATGCTTCTTAGTTATTCTTGTTTCCTCTTAGGTGAATTGCTTGTTCAAGTCCTTTACCCATTTTTTAACGGAGTTGACTTTTTCTTGTTGATCTGTTAGGAGTTTTTAAATGTTCTACATATTGAATACAAATCCTTTGTTACAGAGTTTGCAAATCAGTGTCTTTTTCCTGTTCTTGTCTTTTAACTTTATGGTGTCATTATACAAAGTTTTATTTTAATGAAGTCAGATTTATCAACAGTTTCTTTCATGGCTTATGCCTGTTGTATCTTATTTTTTTAATCCTTTGCTATCATAAAAGTATTCTTATATTTTTTTCCCTTCAAAATATTTTATAATTTTGTTCTTCATGTGTGAGTCCTTAACTCATATGATATATTTTTATTTATTGTGTAAGGAAGGAATCTACTTCTTTTTTTTTTTTTAAGCTATGTGACTTGCGGGATCTTAATTCCCCAACCAGGGATTGAACCTGGGCCACGGCAGGGAATTCCCAGGAACCTACTTCTCAATCTTTTAAAATACAGCTAGTTAATTGTTCATTGTACTTAATACATCTTTTCTACTGATTTGGAATGCCATCTGTCAAGTATCAAGCTCACATATAAACAAGAGTCTGTTTCTAGGCTCTTCTGTTCCAATTTACTATTCCTTGTCAATACCACTGTCTTAACTATTAGAACTTTAAAGTAAGCTTTGATATTTGGTTAGGCAAACCCCCTCTTAATATTTTCCACAGTTGTCTTGGCTCATTTCCCACATGTATTTTTAGAATTGGCTCAGCAAGTGCCATGGAAACTCAATATGCAGTTTTTTTTTTTACATCTTTATTGGAGTATAATTGCTTTACAATGGTGTGTTAGTTTCTGCTTTATAACAAAGTGAATCAGTTATACATATACATATGTTCCCATATCTCTTTCCTCTTACGTCTCCCTCCCTCCCACCCTCCCTATCCCATCCCTCTAGATGGTCACAAAGCACCAAGCTGATCTCCCTGTGCTATGCGGCTGCTTCCCACTAGCTATCTGTTTTACGTTTGGTAGTGTATATATGTCCATGCCACTCTCTCGCTTTGTCACAGCTTACCCTTCCCCCTCCCCATATCCTCAAGTCCATTCTCTAGTAGGTCTGTGTCTTTATTCCTGTCTT